GTGATGCAGAGGCGGTCCCGCGGGCACGTGCGGGAGATCTCGGGGAGAGGCGGTGGTGGTGGTGGTGGTGGTGGTGGTGGTGGTGGGGGAGGGAGAGGTCTCGGAGGGCCCCGGGAGGGCCTCGGAAGGGGGGCGTGGGTTTGAAGAGAGTGTTTGAAGAGAGAGCTGCAGGGGGGGTGGGGAGGTGGGAGGTTGGGGGAGGAGGCGCCTGCAGCTCCTCCTCAGTCATGTTTTCGCCGAGCTCCTTTGCGACCCGCTTCAGGTTCTTGAAGGAGATCTTGCCTGCTCGCCACAGTGGCGAGGGGTGTGAAGAGGCGCCGTGTTCACAGCTGGCCGGCGCCAGGACCTCGAAGGAGGAGATGTTCCCGCGTGTTAGGGAGGAAGGTCGCGGCCAGTGTAGTCGTGGTAATAGGAGACTAAGGGGGAGATATGGGGGAGATGCGCGGGAGATGTGCCGCGTCTTAGAAGCGGTGGCACGAGTGTTGTCGTCGTATGAGCAGAGCTGAGGGAGATATGGGGGAGATGCGGGGGAGATGTTCCGCGTCTAGGAGGAGGTCGCGCCCGTGTTGTCGTCGTATGAGGAGATATGGGGGAGATACGGGGGAGATATGGGGGAGAGGTTCCGCGTCTAGGAGGAGGTCGCGCCCGTGTTGTCGTCGTATGAGGAGATATGGGGGAGATATGGGGGAGATGCGGGGGAGATGTTCCGCGTCTAGGAGGAGGTCGCGCCCGTGTTGTCGTCGTATGAGGAGATATGGGGGAGATATGGGGGAGATGCGGGGGAGATGTTCCGCGTCTAGGAGGAGGTCGCGCCCGTGTTGTCGTCGTATGAGGAGATATGGGGGAGATATGGGGGAGATGCGGGGGAGATGTTCCGCGTCTAGGAGGAGGTCGCGCCCGTGTTGTCGTCGTATGAGGAGATATGGGGGAGATATGGGGGAGATGCGGGGGAGATGTTCCGCGTCTAGGAGGAGGTCGCGCCCGTGTTGTCGTCGTATGAGGAGATATGGGGGAGATATGGGGGAGATGCGGGGGAGATGTTCCGCGTCTAGGAGGAGGTCGCGCCCGTGTGTCGTCGTATGAGGAGATAT